TATCAAGTGAAATTAATGTGCTCATAACATCCTTGCATCTATCCTCTGACTCGTTTAGTTCAGCTTCAAGACGCTCATTTTTATCCTCAAGTTCATGAATTTTTTTATTTGCTTCAGAAAACTGTTCACTGAAGATCCTCGTACACTTCCTTTTCATTATGTATCACATCATTTTCTGTCTGGTACCATGTGATACGTTCCAGTAAATCAGATGTCTTAGTACTGTATTCCAAATCTTCAGCACCACACTCCCATTTTAAATGAGGTCTTATTTAACATTTTTTGGTACCGAAACCTGGGATGCGCTATCTTGGTGATCGTGAATGAATTTGTGTCCGTGATGAAGCAGTAGATTGTCTCACAAGACATTTAGACGTCAAGACTTCGTGGGAAGGGACAAAACAAACACGTCCACTGTCGTTGACTTCAACTTAGCCCTGTCGACATTTCCGACTTCTGACTTAGGACAGACCCCCATACAGACTATGTTGTTTCTATGGCAGCACACCAAGACACACCTCGTGTGCATTACAGAAGGACTTTCAAGAATGAAACATGCCTTGTGTGCATTATGGAGGGACTGTCGGGAATGAAGCACGCCTCGCGTGCATTACGGAGGGACTTATCAAGAATGAAACACGCCTCGTGTGCATTACGGAAGGACTATTGAGAATGAAGCACCTCGTGTTCATTACAGAGGGACTGTCGAGAATGAAGCGCGCCTCATGAGCATTACAGAGGGACTACTGAGCATGAAACATGCCTCATGTGCATTATGGAGGGACTGTCGAGCATGAAACACGCCTCGTGTGCATTACTGAAGGACTATCGAGAATTAAAGACACCTCATGTGCATTACAGAGGGACTATCAAGAATGAAGCACGCCTTGTGTGCATTATGGAGGGACTATCGAGAATGAAGCATGCCTCATGTGCATTATGGAGGGACTATCGAGAATGAAGCATACCTCGTGTGCATTACGGAGGGACTATCAGGACTGAAGCACGCCTCGTTGCATTATGGAGGAACTGTCGAGAATGAAACGCCTGGTGTGCATTACGAGGTGACAGCCAAAATTTATCTGACTTGCAGGTGGAGGTAATCACAGCCATGACATTATTTCTGCGTCATTTTCTTTTTCTTCCATAATGGGTTCAAGTGGATAATAAATCCGGGGCATGTATTCTAATTTCGTTCTTCACACTTCACAAGGTACTGTAGGTCATTCGAGGTCTTCTCTGCCTCACAAACGGCGTTCAGCAAGTTCCTGAATTATCCTCGACGTCAACTATCAGCTTCACACAGTAACACCTTAGAAAGACTGGACCCCGGCCATTATCTCACTAATTCCCAATCACCAACCCACTGACTATCACTGACTATTAGACTCATAAAATCTTCCAGTCTCACTTTAGATCCACTTCCTCCTGCGGATGTCTCGCACCGAACACTGACTGAGAAGTGACTGACTTCTTAGTCAAGTCAAAGTCACATTGCGACTGGCGGTCAGTCAGTCAGTCAGTAAATCTTGGTGTCGAGCCCCATTTGAGGCTCATGACCAGATATTAATTATTATCGTTTTACAGTTATGGTCTTGTTTCTGTGGGGCGCCTTCTCTGATGAGAGGACGGGTCTGTCTTTTGTATATGCTGCTGGCCCTGGCCAGCACAGTCTTACTCGGGTCCGAGTCCCTTGGGACTCGTGACCATATTTTACTGTCTTAGAATTGAGACTTCCCTTTTGTCACCTCCTACGACTCGCAGGGTCATGGTGGAGGTATTCAACCCCGCCTCCACACGGGGTGCCACGACTTCTTATGAATTCCAGTCTCTCCTATAAACCCTCGATCGAACAAGTGGGAAACACAGCTTGTTCTACTGTTGCATTATCGTTGCGTCTATAGAGGCGTTGCTCAGCAACGCGTCGATTAGCTACTTGTTGTGTTTACCGTGGGGCTGCATAGCAACAAGGGTGATGCAGCTCTGCTCGGCACAGTATGGCACGGAGAAAACACCGCTTTCCTTATTGTTGCATAGTCGCCGTGTTTACAGATTTCTGTGGCTCAACGATTCATGCATGGCGTAAATTCACGTACGTCACAAAACAAACAATTTAAATTGGCCTTAAAAAATTGTCTGTACTTTCATTTATTTCATACATTAGACGAATATTTTAAATACGAGGTGAATTAAACCTCTTATAATGCTGTTTGTATAGTAATACATTAATTTATTATAATCTAGTATATGTGTATATAGTTACGCTCTGCTGTCAGTAAGGTATTACTGTCAAGTTGATGAGTCCTATATGATATTTTAAATTATTGAATTGTGCATAATTATTGTTTCTTTTATGGATATAAGTTGTAAGGTGTCTAGCTCTATGGTTAGCACTATGTATGCATATGGGACATGTTCTGTATGTGATGGATTTGGTAGCCAGTAAGGATCTGTGGAATTAAAATAAAGATACAGATACACTAAAAGGCTGTTCATGCATGGATGTTTAATGATAAATAATATATACAGAGGAACAGATTATATTATACAAGGGTTGGATAAAAAGTAGTGGCACTACTGCTGTAACATGAAAGATGTGCATCAGGTAGCACCGTCTGTAGCTGATAGCAGAAGTTCAGTTGAAGTAGTGCAGTGAGTGGCTCTGGTTGTGTTTCATGTAGTTGCATTGTGCATCATCTTAAAGTGCAGGAGCCCAGTTAAAGCACCCTAACAACATGTTTATGAAACAAAAACAATGCTCCTGGATAAAAATTGAGTTTGCACGAGGTTGTAGTGCACAAAACTGTTATCAGGGACTGTGAGAAGCATATGGTGATTGCACAGTGGCACGATGGGTGAAATTGTTCCTTGAAGGGAGGGATGCTATTCAGCACAGCTGTCGTTCAGGACAACCCCATGTTGACAAACACACAATTCAGCTTCTTCTTTGCTGGATGTCGATGGTCGGTGGTCAATGGGCTGTGGGAGTTAGCTGCTGAGGTAGGTGTATGTCACAAAACCATGCTCCACATTCTGCATGAGATTCTTGGATACCGCAAAATTGCAGCGCTTTGGGTACCCTATACAATGTCCAAGGTGCAACAATGGCAACATTATGCAATTACACAGGACTTGTTGGACCGGTACCAGAGGGAAGGTGACGACTTCCTTGGAAGGATCATCACTCTGGACGAAACTTTTGGCTCGATCATACGAACCGAACTTGAAGCGACAATCAAATGAATGGAAGCATCCTGGCTCTCCTCATCCAAAGAAAGTGCGCCCTACACAGAGTAATGTGAAGGCGATGTTCACTGTGGCATATGACATTGATGGAGTGATACTGCACCAAACTGTACCTCAACAACAGACACTTCCTACTACTTCAATTTCCTGCATAATCATCTTCATCCAGCACTCAGGAGAAAGCGACGACACTTGTTGGCAGCAAACCCCATAATCCTTCATGACAATGCAAGGGCTCATACTTGTGATTCTGTCAAGGATCTCCTTCACCGCTGGCGATGGGAGATACTGCAACATCCGCCATACTCACCTGATATGTGTCCATGCAATTATGATCTTTTTGCCAAAATGAAGGAACCACTGCGAGGGTTACGTTACAACACAAGAGAAGAGATTATTCATGCTGTAGGGCGGTCACTGCTGGACATCAACAGAAGTGGTCACACTGATGGTGTATGACACCATCCACAAATTTGGTAGGTGGTACACATGGGGGATGATTATATTGAAGTAATGTAAGTGTGGTTACCTCAGGTAATAAAGTAATTACGAAGTATACAGGTGTTGCCACTACTTTTTATCCGACCTATGTAGAATATGTGTAGTATGGAACTGTACCCTCCTGCTTCTGCTACATACTGAAACACGCGACACTCAGAAGTATAAATTGATAAGGCGCAGAAGTCATGGTTTTGCCAAGTATTACTTTTGTGCTGTGTTGCTGGTTTAGAACTGTTTATATTTGAGGTGATATTAGAAATTATCAGACATACATATCTCAGTAGGACAACTTATTCCCTGTTTTCCACTGTAATTGAAATTGTAATGTAGGAAGCAGACTTTCAAATTATAAGATTTTCTGTTTGCATTCATGATAGCAGATGATAATTTGTGTTATACATATGATGCTACTGATATAATGTGGAGCCCTACATTCAGATAAGTAATTCATATTTTGTACCTTTTAGTTTAGGTGCTTCATAATTTCAGCTGTCTTGTGTACCTTTATGTGCTTCTTGTAATGGAGTTAATTATACCAGCTTTTCTTTTTAATGTATTTATATTTGTCTACCTTGTTAGAACATTTAACATTTCTGAAAAATCGTTTCTGTGTTAAAATATCAGCCTAAAAAGAAAGAAATTTTTGTAAACAGTTGTGTAACTTTCTTCAGAGCAATTGAAATAATATGTGCATGAATGAGCCACAAACTTGAGGCTGTTCATATCCTCTAATCTTACATATGACCCCCCATTTGCTGACACAATATTTGATATAGTTGCTCTTTTTCTGTATATATTTGTTAAGTTATTTTAATTCTTTTGCTAATATTCAAATGCAATTTTGTATGTTTCATACTGAATGTGTGTATAACAATATGGAATGGTCTCCTGAAGACAGATACCTACCTGAAATTTTTAGGTATTTTTTCAGTGGTCTGTGTTTTCTATTAAACAACAGGAATGCCAAGATTTGGTGACACTCACCTAATCAAAACATCATTCAACTAATTGTAATTAGTTGTGGAGCCTGCTTAGGTTAAAGAATTGCCTGTTTATATAACAACAAATCCCTAGAGTCTGGGAGTTTTCATACTTAGTTCACAAGCTGCACTCTGTATATTTTTAATAGTAGTGTTAATTTCCATTTCACCTTCATATACATTTAATATGTTGTCCTCAACTTATGTTCCCCTAATGCTCATGTTTCTCAAATTTTATTATAAAGTGATTACATATTTTGACATTTGCTGCAGTTCACAGCAGCTGTCAAGTCAATTTGCTGTATTAACAACTGGTGCTGGAAACTGTCTAAGTCAGAAGTCATACAAATGTTCAGAATGTGGCAATTCTTTCCCAACATCTGGTGGACTGCAGAAACATTCATATAAACATAAACCAAAAACATTTTTGTGTGATATTTGTGGCCAAAGCTTCTATCATCCAAACTTGGTAAACACACACAAGCTGGTTCATGTAGATGGAAAACCGTATTTGTGTGAAATATGTGGGAAAAGTTTCTTGCAGGCCTCAAATCTTAGGTTACATGCAGTGAAACATAGAGGGATCAAGAGCCATGAGTGTGAACTGTGCAAAAAGAAATTCTTTCATGCAAGCACGCTTAAAACTCATTATATGATACATAGTGGAGTGAGGCCACATGCATGTGAGATATGTAATCGGAGTTTTAATCATGCTGGAAACCTAAAAACGCACATGTTGGTGCACACGAGGGAAAAACCATTTCATTGTAACGTTTGTGGTAAGAGGTTTGCTTTGCGTCATGCCTTGGCAAGTCACCAGACACTTCACACTGGAGAGAAACCTTTCAAATGCGATATGTGTGGTAAGCAATTCAGACACCGGCATTCACTAATTAATCATCAGAAACTTCACACTGGAGACAAACCCTACGAGTGCGACGTGTGTCAGAAGAGATTTGCTTTACGTGGCAATCTGCAGAGACATATTGCTACACATCGAGGTGAGAAGCGTTATGTTTGTACTTCATGCCCAAGAACGTATGTAGATGCACAGTCTGTAAAGGGTGATATTACAGCTCAGCATTCTGACGATAACACAGGAGAGATTGTTGTTGGTTTTTAATTGTTTGATTTAGAAAATGCTAGTAGTTGTAGCCTTATTAGATTTGGCTAATAGTTTTACAATGATAAGTTTTTATTTATTTTATCAAGTGCTTAGTAGACAGTGTGTATTGGTGCTTCACGGATTATTGTACTCTGGTAAGCAACACTGGGAATTATAAGTGGTTAGTACCACTGAGTTTGTTGAGGAGAATGTGTGTTTTATTTTTGGTTTACAGTCAGGATATCCTAACTGTATTGTCCATATTCAAGGAAAACACTTTCAAATAGGTGATGAGTTATCATCCATATTTCCCTGAGGTTTTGTACAGGCATCTTCCATGCCCATGCTATGTAGCAAAGTTAAAAATTATTGTTGAACAAGAAACTGTCACCAGCAGATAGTCATAGTAACAAAATGACTTGCTCTTGTGTTTCAAAATAAATGTATAGAAGAAAAAATATACCTGATAAGAAAATGACTTTGAAGTAGTGAATTTACAATAAACCATGTGATTTATGAATATTCATAGCTGTTGAATTCATTGTGTATATAAGAACTGTAATCCTACAATGATATTAATTTTGCCTGCACCAATTGTCATTTTTTATTCAGATTATTGAGTCCACGTTTTACTAATTTGTATGGTAATGTCTGATAGGTTTATTGTACAGAAGTAACAAAATAAAACCCTTGAAGATAACTCTGTAACTGTTAGATGTAGGAAGTATACATAAAATGATGTATTCTGGTAACTTAAGAATTCTGATTCAGAAGTGTACTTTGCCCATTCCATATCATCTGCCATTCCCAGAGGGTAGAGATGGAAATGGGAGTAGACACAGTCTATTTCATTCCAGAACACTTTTTCTTAATAAGACCGTTTGCAGTATCTTAAGATGTCCTGACTGTTCCCAACTATGGTACATGTAGGAATGAATTTCCCAACCTACATTATCATGATTCCCTCTATAGGGTAGTGGTCACTGTTCTGAAGAGCCATTTCCATCCCTGCCAGAGGGGCAGAAGAAAATAATGAGAACTCTCAGAGTCAATGGTTGCATAGCAGAAATTCTGTGTAGGTATCATGGTACACGGCAGATTTACTGTTGGCTTAGAGGCACATCAGCTTTAAATGTACTATGACGTCACTTACAAGTATGTGCAGCATATCAGTGATGTTCAGCTGTGTAATTACTGCTTCATTACAAAGTCACTATCATGCAATTGGACAAAATTTATTAGTTCATGATAAGATCAACTATTATGCCATCATTTGCAGGTATTAACATACGTTGTACATTCTACTTCCCAAATTGTTACACTGTTCAATCGTCATTTCCGATTAAAAAATATTAGTAGAAAATTAAAGTTGTTAAAACTGGTGTTCAACTTAATGCTATAAAGGTGGTTTTTTGTCATGATGGTTGTGTCATCTTTTTTACATTTAATGTCATGCTGGTGCTTGGTATGTTGTCATGTTGTCTTAGTTTTTGTTGTAGAGCATGCAAACAGAATAGACTATGAAGTGCTTGTAACTGCCTGAAGGGCACTGCATAATAGATGAAACATGAATTAATTAATTTGATGTTCAATTCATGGTAGCAACTTTCTGATTAGCAAATAATTACACAACTGAACAACAACACTGGAGTGTTGCAGACAAGTGTTGTATAAATACTGATGACTGAACTAAATAAAGAACGATTTTAAAATATAACATTAGAACTATTATCACAAAGCTAAATCTTCCAAATATCTTCATCTAGAAAAATACAAGATTCATATACTGTGCACAGCATAATAAAAATTTTCCTCGTCGTAGTATTTCACTTGTGAAGGTGGCCACACAATAATATTTTTAATGTTATACTTTCATGCCAGGAGCCAAGTTAGCCAAGTTTATATGGTGACGGGTTATACAGGCTGGACAGCTGGAGTTAGATTCCCGGCAGCAGCAAAATATTCTCTTCTACGCATGATTGAGACCGGCTATGGGAACCACCCAGCCTCATATTCAATGGGTACTGGAGGCTCTTTCGTCGAGGGTGAAGCTGACCGCTCAACTCCAGCTAGTGCCAAGGTCAAGAATAGCGAAGCTGCAAGACTATTCCCTTGTGTCATGACGTGGTGCTTAATTAATTAATTGCGGCGACTTTTGGCACGTTTCCATGGGATAATTTTAACAAAGTCTCCCCAGTGCAAAGAAATTGAAACAGACAAAATTTATGCTGTGACATAACATAAAAAGCGTTTCTAAGAGTCACATCAGGTAGGAACAGAACTATGATACGTTAGTTAACTACCAAAGGTTGACTCCCCATTCAAAATTTAATATCCCTTTAATAATATAATAATAATAAATTATTCTTATATTCAAGTAGATCCAATTACATGGCAAGCAACAAGTTGTCACACCACTGGATGTAGAATGCGTCAAAAATCAAAACAGATGTTCCAACCAATCACTAGAACAAGTCAAAATAACAATATAAAACACAGTCACTAAACATAATAAAATATGACTACAACAAGACTTAAATACTAGATGAAAACATATTAACCTTTTATCTTGTAAAATTCATCCAGTGTATAAAAACAATGCACTTGAATGGATATTCTCAATACACAACACAATATCAAATAATGTATGTTACGTCACTCACACATCAAGAGAAAAACCATAAAAACATCTAACATGCATGAACAATAAATGGAATAAATAACTTCTCTCAGAAGTGTACTAAAAATTATTATGGTAATAAATAAATTCATAAAACAAGAGACTGTATGTTAAAATAAATAAAAGTCATAGTTTGTATGTATGCAGATCTAAAATAGATGATTATATATTTTTAGTTAATAGGACTTGTTAAGATTAATTATAGATACTATTTATAAGAACCAATATCAGCCATTGTGTTCCATTCATAATATTCATTTAAAGAATAAAATGAACCAGCAAGAAGAAACTCTTTTAGGGCCTGTTTCAATTTAATAATATAATTTAATAGATTCCTGATGCCATGTGGTAGATTATTGAATATCCTAATTCCTGAATAATACCAAAATACTTTATTTCCTTAAAAGCATAAAGCATGGTCAGGAGATGCGATGTCTCCGCTGTTATGTGTTTTATTTACGTGCTTTGTACAAGGAATATATATAAAGACAAGATCTGAGCTTTCTTGAAACCTGCTGTGCTAGTAGTAAACACGGTAAACGCTGCCTGTTCGAGGTTTCCATAATGTCAAACAAACATGTGTTCTCTAGTTCAAGTGCAGGTTATGTTCCCATACTAACTAAAGCACTGATTGTAAAGAAGGTAAAGAATACTATAGTATTGGTCCGCTTACGTGATGTGTATCGGTTTACGGCACAGTACGGTGTGCATGTCATAGATATGTTCAGAAAATGGACAGATTTAGAGTAGAAAACATTTCTTTTTGATGCATATTTCGACAGATTAATCATCGACCAGCCACATTGACATTTGCTATAATAAAGGTAAAAGTCTTAATAAGCATGAGAGTGAAGATTTATTACCGCAAAGGATTATTTACGTTTTTTTTAAACTTGTTAACTTAATTTTTAGAACCCGCAAAAGTAATATGGGTTATCTGAAAGTTGTATTTGTATACAAAATACGAAAAGTGATGTTTTAAGAAAAATGAATATCCAATCGTTACTACGGTATTAGGCCCAGATATTACCTAATATAGTATTAATATAGGAAACTAGGTTTTGTTTGGCAATATTGAATTAATAAATATTCAAACTTCACTTTATCTCCTACCAATGCTTTAGTAAGTCCATTGCCTGAATATTACCTGTTTATGTTGCCTGCTAATTTACTTTGCTATCTGCTACTCTGATCCATGCTTAAGGACTAGGCGCTTGTTCAATGAATCATTCATGCAGGAGTGTAAAGATACAGGTCCCATGCTAAATAAAATTTCTATCAGTACATACAATGCTTCCACATTTTCAGTTTCTTGTATCTAGTAAAGCTTTAAAAACTTGATTTATGTGATAAGCCTAATTTCACATAGATGTGCACAAATTAATAACCCAATTTTACTGCTATAATTACACTTTGAAATCCAAAGTCGGTACTCCAGGATATATGTTTACATTTTTGGTGTGTAATTTTCATGAATTTTGATACTCTAAGCAGTAAATATTAAATTGGGTCCACCCTGTGTCTGTATATTTGAATCCTACTGATGCAGAAAATTCTAGATAAGTGCAAGACAACTTCAATTAGGTGCCAGTTGTTTTGATCATTTTTTAAAATATTATTGTGATTCTTATGCCAGTTATATCAATTAGAAATTATATATGTAATAAAAGGTGGAATTTGGTCAATATTTGTTTGTCAAATGATACTATATGTAACTTGAATGCGTGCCATTGTAAGCAAGTTAAAATCAGTATGTAATAAACAGATTTTGTTGTATACCATGTTATGCAGGAACATTCTTACAGGCAAAATAATTAGTATTTCCACTATATATTGATAATGATTCACAATATTTATTACATTCACAGTTTGTAAACAGGTTAAAATTAAGACTGTATAATAGTCTGTAATACCAGTCAATGGCATCACCATGATAGCTTCACAAGTTTGCCATTTGCTAACTGATTTATTCAGGTTCTTTTTCTTTTTTCTCATTTCCTTTCTCCTTGGGGTGATTGTCAGTAACATCACGCATTATCTTCATGTGTTAAGGGTGTACTGACTTGTAGATCACAATCTGTGTCAACAGCCATGTAATTAGGCTCCCTCACCAGGTCTAAGTCTAGATGCTGTTGAACTTTACCACAGCACATTAATCGTGATTACCTAAAGCAGTTGACAGTACAGGTGTCAGTAACTTTATTCCACATGCTTATCATCCTATGAAGTATATCTAGAAGTGATATTTGTTGTGTAATGTGCAATGAGGTTCCAAAACCATCTTTCAGTTTAATGATTTTTCACCTCATGTATGACCTATGAAGGGTGTTGAGGTTTCAAAGCAAGAGACTTAGTGTCTGGAGCTTGAAAGTTCATTTCCTGTACAGTAAGTGCAGTCTTGGATGAGGTGGGCAGTTGCTCAAAAGTTGTGTGTGCGCGCGCGTGTGTGCTTCACCAATAAATTTCGTGTAATGAAGCTGTCATCTAAGCATTGAAATTGTTTGCATATTCATCATATATGCCATTGAAACATCTGGGGATATACTCTTACCTGTTATGAAACTCTTCATTTGGATTGAGTGTTAGCAACTCCTACTCTGTCCTACAATCTTTGCCCTAGCAGAAGCAAACACACTTATAAAAATCATACACATTTACATAGTAGCACT